TAATCGATGCTACTATCCTTTTTTATTTTATATTGCTTTCCTTCTTTGTGGTGGATTAAGGAGACTAACCGACATCAAAAGCCTTTTCATGACGCTAGCATTAGTGTCGGTTCTATTATCCGATGTTGCATGAGTTTATGTCAGATTTTTACCAAATATCCGATAGAAATTATATTTTCTTGTCGGTTTTTGGACCGCCAGTTATAAGTAATTTTGTAGTAGTGTTTGGCTGAAGGGATGAGCATCGATGCAGATTTTACAGAGGTCGGAAGAGGCGGTGGGACAGGTGTTGGGCTTGGGACTTCAAGAGGGGAGGTGGGACAGGACGTAGGAGAGCATGGGAAATTTGGAGAGGTTGTGATCTATTGGATGAGATGGAATAAGATGGGATGAGATGGGATGAAATCGAAGATATGGGGTCAGAGATACGAAGAATGAGTGGTGGTTCTTGAAGAAAGTTGAGGTTTCACCATAAAACCAATTAGTAATATAGAGAGTAGCTCAACTTACTTATAAGCTCATGCAAGGTCCATCCTCCCATTAATGTGGAATTTATTCTCAACACGCCTCCTTACATGTGGTGAATTTTTAAGCCTAACATGTGGATAGTACAACGGGGTGATGTGGAGCACGTGTGGCCGTTCCACACCTGGGACAACCTGCTCTAATAACACGAAAAAAGTTGAGATTCAACCATAAAACCAATTGACAATATGGGGAGTAGCCCAACTTAGCCCATGTAATGTCTCTCCTCCATTAATGTGGGATTCATTCTCAACAGTTCTGTCTGTGTGAGTGATGACTTATGCGATTGGATTTGATTGGATTTTGAAAAAGAAAAAGAAGGATGTTAGACCAAGTCTCAAAGTTTGCTCTCTTCTCGGCTGCTAGGAAATTGTTAGATGTCCGCCATTACTTTTCTTCTGCTTCTGGACATCAAATTAACTTTCATATGTCTTCGCTTTATTTTTCAAACAATGTTTCTACTCATGGTAAGGTGACTATTAGACAGGTTTTGCAAATCCGACATCGCCATTCCAGAGGTAAATTTGGGACTTCATAATGTGGTTTTTTGCATTGGCGGATCTATTAAGGGGCAGTAGGGGTCATCTGGCCCTCCCAACTTTGGCAAACCTCAATGGAAAACCTCAATGCTGCCCATTTGAGGTTCAGAGTTATCCTTGAGATATGCCCTCTAACTGCTTGATGGAATGCCTCAATGAATGGGCAGCGCAGGGAATTGTATACAGCGTGGATGAAGGTTGCATCGTGCCTTTGGCTCCAATAATACATCAGAGTTTGGTGTTGCAGCCTCTGTTTTTCTACCTCTGGATTTCCTAAACTTGCCTCAACCCGCCAAGGAATTTCCTAAAGAAAAGTGGATAAGTCCATAGCTGCCACTTCCACCGTTTCAAACCCTATTTGCTTCGAAGTAGTGCCATCATTCATTTGGAAGTGTGCCTTTGAAGCAATACCAAGTCATTTTATACATTTATAAAAAATAAGACCCATCCACTTGAAAAAAACTTAAGCTTCTAATTAATCTAGACAATATAAACCCAAATCTTTATAATCTTAAACTCTACCTAATCCCAAACCAAATTCCAGATTTATAAAATTTCAATATTCATTGTATTAATAATGAAATTATTGTAACAATTTCGACGAAAACGTGTAGTAAATAATTGCCGTTTGTAATGGACATTTGTAGTTTGTAATGCTATTTATTCATAAATTATGAATGATGGAATTATGATTTAATTTTTATGGCTATTTGTTGTTGAGAAAATGTGTATAAATTTTTACACTTGACCCTAAACAATTTTTCATGAATTCGCCACTGATTTTTTGCAATGACCCTATTAAGGAGAAAGAGCCCATTCTCTAAGTGCAACAAAAGCTTGCGGGATGGAACTTACACTTTAAAAGCCAACTATTTCTAGCACGCCTAATCATATTTTTCCTTGTTTTCCGTGTCCTCCTTGGAACAGCTAAAGCTATTGAGCAGGTGAGTCAGGATTTTTCTGGAGTTCTTCAGGGACTCATCCTCCTATCGCTTGGACATTCCTCTAAAGATAAAGGTGACCTTGGTGTTAGACTTGTGCTTCATTTTAATTAGGCATTGTTGATTGTAGAAATATTCTCTTTTATAAAAATACTACTTTCACCGTCTATTGATGTCATATCTCTAATAGAAATAAGACTCACATGCGTTGACAGACCCTACCTCTATTAGAGAGATGGTAGGGCCAACCAAAATTTGTACTATCTCTCTAAGTGTAGCATTACATTCGTTGTATAGCTAGCAATGGTAGAGATTCTAGGCTTTAAATTGGGCTTTTGATAAACCGCTTGTTTCTCTTTTATCTGATTCTGAAAGGTAAATTATTAATTAGTCCATCACTATTTGTGATCTTATTACTAATAGAGCACTGCTTGAGAGATTATATTTTGAGACTAAATTTTGAAAACTAAAGAACATGTAAGTTGATGATTGATGTATTACTTAGTGTTGATAGACGTGCTCATTTCTATTGGTGAACATCATTTAGTTTGCAATTTTAGTCTCTAAATTTAATCAAGTGGTGTGGACTAATTCGTTGCCTCGTAAGGCTCGTGAGGCGTGGCTTTGGGACTTAAGCTAGTTCTTCTTGCCCTAGGGGCTTTTCCTTGCAATTTTACTTGCATCCCAAAAAAGAAAAAAAAAAAAAAACTCACATAGTCAAGGTTATGTGTAACTATAGGTGAATAATTTTTATTGGTCTGAGTGAGTTTCAGACACAGGAAACTTATCCCCCTTTAATTCTTACCATTTTATAGGGGTAGAAAGAATAAGTTTCCGTTATGATTTATCAGTCTTCCACTTTAAACTGGACAACATTTTTTGCTTCCTTTTCTGAATGTAGCTTGAATTTAGTGACTTCTCCAATCCAATTCAAAACACCTACGAGTTATGGTACTCAGTAAAAATGAAGAAAATTTCAAGCCTCTAATTAAAAAAGTCTCATAAAGTAAAATTTCAAACCAAAAGTCACCATCCTTACTTTTTTTCTTACAATCAAACATGTGTAAAAGGTAATCATACAGTGATCATCGTGTAAATTTCAACCCAAACATATAATAATGAGCACCTCCCAGAGAGAGAGAGAGAGAGAGAGAGAGATGTTTCTAGTCTTCTAGAAACCCTATGCAGGAAAGATGGATGTAGTACTCCATAGTTGGAGTTAGGATTGAATTTTATGCGAAGCTTGGAAGACAAAAGGAGGTGAGTGTGTAGAAAAAATGTAACGGAAACGCTTACATACTGTCGTGCGGGTTGGTCACCATTTTAACCACTCTTGGTAAACTTTGCCCACACTAGTTATAGTTAATTAAATAAATTAGAAAAAGAAGATAAGCCACCTATAGCCTACAGCCAACCATTATATACGAATTGAAAGATCTTTGAACTGTCAATTATGCAAAATTCTTTGCCGTAAACAAACTATCATGATCATACGCAGTTCCAAACATGCAATCTAATTAATTAAAAAATTTGCAGCATATCAAGCAATCTAGCCATGAATGCATCCATATATATATATATGCTATATTTGATCTTATTTAAGACAATAACCAAACTAATTAAACTTCATATAGAGTGTTAATCTCTTATCAGGTATATGTGTATAAGGAGCTGAGTCATTTCTTAGTTATATTGTCAATTGATTTTATAATAGAACCTCAACTTTCTTCGGTTTATTTTATGGTGCAACCTCAACTTCTTTTATGATAATAGAGCATGCTAACCTATCATACGCAGTTCCAAACATGCAATCTAATTAATTAAAAATTTTGCAGCATATCAAGCAATCTAGCCATGAATGCATCCATATATATATATATATGCTGTATTTGATCTTATTTAAGACAATAACCAAACTAATTAAACTTCATATAGAGTGTTAATCTCTTATCAGGTATATGTGTATAAGGAGCTGAGTCATTTCTTAGTTATATTGTCAATTGATTTTATAATAGAACCTCAACTTTCTTCGGTTTATTTTATGGTGCAACCTCAACTTCTTTTATGATAATAGAGCATGCTAACCTATCATACGCAGTTCCAAACATGCAATCTAATTAATTAAAAATTTTGCAGCATATCAAGCAATCTAGCCATGAATGCATCCATATATATATATATATATGCTGTATTTGATCTTATTTAAGACAATAACCAAACTAATTAAACTTCATATAGAGTGTTAATCTCTTATCATGTATATGTGTATAAGGAGCTGAGTCATTTCTTAGTTATATTGTCAATTGATTTTATAATAGAACCTCAACTTTCTTCGGTTTATTTTATGGTGCAACCTCAACTTCTTTTATGATAATAGAGCATGCTAACCTATGTGTTAGCCCAACAGCTCATGTGCTCCCAATATGTGTTGCCTAATGCTTACGTTTTAGACTTAAATAACGTCACGCATAATTCCATGAAGGGTGTGTTAAGAATGTGAATTTCACATCAAGAAATTAAGGGATCTTACGTGTGTTTTTCTAAGGAGTTGAACTTCTCCTTAACTTGGTTGAGATGTCAATTGATAACAGTAATTTATGATTGAATGAAAAGGGATATACGCTGCAGATTACCATGTTCCCATTGTACTCACTGTAGTAGTAGCGTAGACAGGGTTTGGTGGGTAGAAATGGGTGAAGGTGGTTGGACTGGATCATGGAATTAAAAACAAAATACATGAAATCTGGTACAACAGAAACAAAACCTCGTGCCAAAATACTTGCCACTCATCTTCTACAAAATTTTATTTAAAATGACACAATGTCATATCCACTTTGATTGAATCATTCGTAGTCAATGCCAAGCCTCACAGACGACTACTAGAAAATACATATACCCCTCCCTTACGTTCATGTATAGTAGCTGGGGTGTTTTGGTAATTTAATTATTTGATTCCATTATAAAATTTGTACTTTTCAATCGCCATCTTTGTCAAAGTGTTAGCTGTAATTATCAACATATAAAAAGACTAATGTGGCTAATGACTATGGCTTCTTCTTCTTGAAGATTGAGTTTATACAACACAAAGTACACACCATTAATACCTGATCGCCTTGAGCTTTACTTTTAAGCTAGCCAGCATCAGATATCCGTACCAGGGTTTCTGCTGGCATCAAAATCGAATCCACTTGGTTTGTTTATCGAATCAAGAATGCAAGAGAGTCTTCCTCCAGGTTTCAGATTCCATCCTACAGATGAAGAACTGATAACGCACTATTTGTGCCATAAGGTTTCTGATGTTAGTTTCACGTCGAAGGCTGTAGCAGACGTTGATCTCAATAAGTGTGAACCTTGGGACCTCCCAGGTATATATGGTCAGATTATGTTTATATAAGTGTATCATGTTCAACCCTATTCTTCTGTTCATCTGCCTCACATGTTTGCCTTCTTCCTATAATATTATCTGATTATTCCTAGTTTTCTATGATATTTCATTCTTCTTATTCCTTAGAGGCTTTTAGTAACGATCTTGATGATGATCACAATCTGTCTTTCTTTAATTTGCCTAATGGCTTTGTTGAATTTATGTAAGTAAAGCAGTCTTTCCTGAAAATTACATGTAATTCAAACAGGAAGAAAGGATAGTATAGGAGCAGATTTAGGCTTAGCCAAGTTGGCTAGAGCACTAAGTTGAAGCTCTATCCCCGTTTAGATTAATTCAATTCTTTTTAGTCAAAATGGTTTGAGATTTGCATAAATCCTCACTTTGGACCATGAGATTTAAAATCAATAAAACTGGTTTATTAGCTTGTCCACCATCAATTATTTTCGTCATTTCGTGAAAATCACGTTAAATAAGAAAAAAAAATGAAAAAAAAATACCCTCAATTTTTGTCAAATTATTTTTCCATTTTAATCCTTATTTTAACAGAAATTTTTCATGAAATGACCAAAATGATTGATGGTGGACAAACTCTTGGACCACTTCTATCGATTTCAAATCTGAATGATTAAAGTGAGAAGTTATGCCAATCTCAGAAAGTATTTTAGATAAAAAAAAACCTTAATTCAATATGCTTGGATAAAAAAGAGAATAAAGAAAACTATGTTCCAATCTCTTCCTACCAAATACATATTTCCCATGACATTTTTTCGGACTTTCTTAGGTTTACAGTAGATATTTTGTTTAAAAAGGATAGTGCTATTCGCACACTATTTTTACCTCTCACACATTTATTTTAATTTTTTGCCGTTGATTTTTTAAATTCATTAGATTCGATGGCCGAAAATAAGAGGGGTGTGCAAGAAGTAAAATTGAAAAAATGGGTATGTAGATAACACTATCCTAAAACAATGCAATTAGACCTTTAAAAATTGTTTCACAATATACATTTCTTATACTAATTTACCAACAGATATACTTGAATACAATTTTTCAGAACGTTCTTAAGTAGCTTAAGTATTCATACTTTTGATAGGAATATATTTTGACAGTAACGTATTTAACCGATAAATGCAACTTACAACAAACTAAATTATTATGTGGTTGGTGAAGGCAAGGCTTCGATGGGAGAGAAAGAATGGTACTTCTTCAACCTGAGAGACCGAAAATATCCAACTGGACTTCGAACCAACCGAGCCACGGAAGCCGGGTACTGGAAAACAACTGGGAAAGACAAGGAAATACATCGTACAGGTGTACTGGTTGGGATGAAGAAAACCCTAGTTTTCTACAAGGGCAGAGCTCCTAGGGGTGAGAAAAGCAATTGGGTCATGCATGAATACAGACTAGAAAACAAGCATCCTTTCAAATCCTCAAAGGTACAAATTACTACAGAAGAAAACAATTGGATCGTTTGGGACTGCTATCTTAAAACCACTTCTACTGATAAGCACTTTTTTCTTAGAAGTGCTTACCTGAAAAACAATTGGAGGTTCTTCTAAAAAGGTGTTTTTCAGAGAGTTATTCTATTAAACATAAAAACTAAGTTTTTTAGTAAAAAATAGTCAGTTGCGCTTTTGTTGTCATAAAGTGCCTTAAGCTATTTCAGAAATAGTCTCAAATGCCTTTATCGATTATATTTATAATTCTTTAATTTGCTAGGTTTAATTTTTTTATTGGTTTCACAATATGCAGGAAGAATGGGTGGTTTGTAGAGTTTTCCAAAAGAGCATTAGTGCATTGAAAAAGCCACAGCAAGCAACCACATCCTCCCATCAGCAGCCGTCGATAGAATCTCCATGCGACGATACGAACTCAATCGTTAACGAATTCGGAGACATCGAGCTGCCAAACCTAAACAGCAATATTAACGCAAATTCATCCAGCGGGTTCAGCAACAACATTTCCTCACCCCCAAGCTATTACAGCAATATTATTGATCATAGCAAGAACAACATTAACGACGTTACCAACATGAGTTTGAACATGAATTGGGCAGCAACAGCGGCGAGAGAGGCAGCCGTGAACGCCGTTTCATGGCCGTCAAGCTTGCTAAGTCCCTCAAATCTTTCGGTGAATTCGTTGCTTCTTAGGGCATTACATCTTAGGAGTAGTACTAATAATAACGGTAGTAATTATCAACCAAGAGATACTAATCATGGTCAAGCTACAGCAGGCACTAGTACTCTAGATTACTCATCATATAATACTATGCAGCAGCAAGGAATGATGCCGTCAATCTCTCATCACATTGGATCCAGTACTACTATGGATCATATAAATTCAAATTTTCAAGCTTCTTCGTCGAGTATTAAAGATCAGATGATGGAATCGATGCCGCCACAACAACATTCGGAGCAACCATTCAATTTGGACTCCATTTGGTGAAGCTGTGAACTGTACAGCCTGATCAAATGAATAAGCTAATAACATCTTGTAAAGTTCGGCATCGTTACGGTACTAAGCCTGAGCTGGTTATGAAACAAATGCAGTATACCACAGGGAGAGTAGACTCACATGCACGTACGTAAAGTTCGATAATGTTCCATATATTTATAACTATGATAGATTATTATGTCGAAAAATAATAGGGTTCTTGCCCTAGTTTATGGGTCTGTTTAATTATGTTGAAGAGTTATAGTATTATGCTGGTAGGGAAAACTCCCTATGTTAAATCTGTACCCTCTTATATTATGAAAACATGTTTCTCATGATCAAACATCTCAACACATTTCTCTTTCAAAGTTCATAAGGTAATCTACACGATGATGGTAATGGTTAAGAAAATGAAAGTTCATCAATCATCATTGACAAGAATTTTTTTGTCATTATTATAACAAAATTCGAACCAAATTAGTAGCTAAATGCAGAGGTTCGAGATTCCAAAAAAATATAGATTATTCAGATCCACACAATGCCCTACGAGCGGTTGATTTATGTTAATTATGTATGAACTAGATACTAACCACATTTAGAAAAATAATAATTATCCTTAAATCGACTAAAACATTGTCAAGGAATATCTGTTTACACGGACTTACCTGAAATGAGTTGGAATGAGCATTAGAATGAATCCCATCCATGAATTCTCTACGTTTTATTAATAAATATGAAATAAAAAAATACGTATATTACAACATGTAATCTTCCGGCGGCCACGATTTTACTGATGGAAAAAATCCAGCAGACTTATAAAAATAAATAAAAAATGCAGCCCAAATCATAATAAACTGCCATTAAAGACGCAACCCAGACCTATTAACCGTTAAAACAAAGAAAAACTAATGAAAATAGCTTGAATAACTCGTTTGAATGTGCTTTTAGAGAAAATATTTTTAGGTTTCAAAAGCACTTAAAGTGCTTTCTGCAAAAAGCACCAGTTATGTGTTTTTTTCAAGAAGCGCTTTAAGTGCATTTTTAGGATTTACTTGCATCTTTACTAATTATTGGTTCTAAAAATATTTTCACAAAAAGCGCTTTCAGTAATTTCAAAAGCATATCCAAACGAGCTCGAAAACTTTGAATTTTAACAAAAATGACAAAATAAAGGGTAAAGTGAATAGCGCCAGGATTGACTTTTTAGTGTAAAAATATGATTTTTCGTTAAAATAAACAGTATCAGAAGTTTTTCGTAAAAATGGTATGCCTTTTCTTTCTTTGGAAGCCTTTTTGAAAGTGTTTTCCTATTTGTGCACTTATGTTATATGCTAACTTGAGGTTGTCTGTAGATTCCCAGCATTCAGCCACCGACATCACATAATTCTCAGCAGTCGACACAACCAACTCAGCAACCAAGCACTCAGGCTGCTCCCTCGTTGCCTGGTCAAGTTGGTTTACAGGACCAAACAGGGCCATCGCAGGTCCAAGCTCCTCCAAGAAAGCAATACCAAAACCAACCGGCAATGCCTAGTTCATCAGCTGGTGCTCCATCTATAAATGTGCAGTCTCAGCCTATGCCTTCACGTCCCCTGCAGAACCCCCAGCAGCCCAAGGGACATCTAAATCCTCAAATGAACCCGACTTTTCTTCCACAGTCCTCTCAACTCCCAAATATGCCCGCACATCCTCTACATTCTTCTTCACAGCTACCTTCGCTTCATCAAACCCAAATGTCTTCTGCTTCCGGGCAGTTACAACGTCATTACAGACATCTGGAGTTTCTCATATGCCGTTGCAACCACCATTGCCTCCACAACCAAGACCACCTTAAATGCCTAACTTCCATCACCAGTATCCACCACTGATGGGGGCCAACATGGGTTCAGAGTTCAACAATCAAGCTGGATCTTCCATGCAAGTTGATAGAGGATCGTGGATGTCTGGCCCACCAGAGAGTTCGACAGTGCCACTTCCAGGAGGCGGCCAGCCTCCTCACCCCCCACCGGTAAGATAGCTGCTACGTCACACATTTGACTTCAGCCGGAGCTTTTATTTATAGGTCGAGTTTCCGTATCAATCACCATTTGACCTTTATGCTCATTGTGCAGTTGTCCCCTGAGATGGAGAAGGTGCTGCATCAGCAGGTCATGACCCTCACACCAGAACAAATTAACCTCCTGCCTCCAGAGCAAAAGAGTCCAGTGCTACTGCTACAGAAGATATTGCGCCAATAAACCCTCGTGAATTTTTCAATTTTTCAGCCGGAAAGAGGGACAGCGCTTAGCTTCAATGTTCAGCCGGAAAGAATCTTTGGAACGCTGCCTATTACTCGGTAAATTTTCTTGTTTGAGAATCTTAGAACTTGACTATCTTTGGTGTTAAATCTACATCCATTTGTTGTATACCAATGTTTTAGAAGGCTCGCCTCAGGGCGCGCCTAGGCGGCCTCTGAGGCTGGACGTGAGGGTTGCCGTCTCTGTTTTGAGGGAGTGGGCGGAAGGCGGTGGAAGGCGTCACCGGAGCCTCCTAGGAGGCGGAGGCGCACCTCAGGACGTCCAGGCGACTCTGTTTAGCTTTTTTTTTTTTTACTCTCAAACCCAAATTTTGGGTAGGGTTTTAACGGCCTCATACCTCTTCCTTGCACTATCATCTCTCTGCCTATTTTTTCTGATTTTTATTTTTTTATATAATGGATGTACGTGTGATGCCTGCATGCATTGTTATATGTGTGCCTATTGTGCTTTTCATCATCTATTTAATATATATATATATATAATATAATATATGAATATATATGTGAGTGTATATTTATAATATATGCATGTGTTCAGGATGATTATTGATTAATAATCTTCTTCTTTTAATATAATATATGTGTACGCTCAGTGTATATATTAATAAATTTAGGTCTCGTGAGGCTTCGGCCGGGCTATCCCTCGGACGCCTCGCCCACGCCTCATGGTTTTAATACATTGTTGTATACACAAATGCATATATTAAAAAACGTCAACTACAATGCTGTTGATCAACGAAATACATGAGAATTTTATCTATGCTAAAAGCCATTCTGTTTTAATGTAGATGCGTGAACTACTCTCGGAGTTTCAATTGATAACATTCTGTTCCAATGTTTTGCTCCCTTGCCGCAAGCAAACTCAGTCCTCTCTGAACAAAACTCCGTTGAATCCATCTCATGCACCGAGTCGAAGATAATCATTCACACTTTTAGACAATCCACCAGGCAGGATAATTAGCATTGCAAGGCTAATTCGTTACAAGCATCCCATGTTTTGCCATTGTCAACAGTTCTTGTTCACTCTCGCAAAATGATCAGCGTTTCAAAATGGGCGAAAGTTTTAATCTTCGTTTTCCCAATCAGAATCTTCATCATTGTCGCTAACATCTGAATCCACGTATGAATCTTCATCTTCATCCTCATCTTCGTCCTCGCTCTGCAGATAAGAACCAAAAATTTTACTCTCATTGCTTGATACGGGGATGGTTAAGGAAAGACAAAATCTGTCCCAGAGGTGGCATGCTAAAAATTTATACTAATACAATCAATCTGATTGGAGCTCATGACCACTAGATAGTGAATAGATGACAATGAGAAACAGGATATCTCACTTGGACTAATTCCAACGCACGATGAATCTGCTCGGGATCTCTCGAGCTCCAGGAACTCTCATCTACATCATCTTCAGAAATACCCTGTTCACAATCAACAAAGCTATGGTCATGCGAGTGAACAAACGCCCATACAAAACCGCAAAAATGTATCATGTATATTATTGGAGAAACCAAAGCTGTATAGCAACAACCGGCCGTGCGAGAGGGGGCATACGCTTGGATCGCACAGTGAACAGATGAAGATGAACAAACATATAGTAATCACTGATTTTATCATTAGTGCTTCGGATATGTGTTGAAACGAGAAATTATAACTTACAACTTGAGATTTCATTTGCTCTATGTTCTTCTCTAGTTCAGATATGTGCTGACTGAGAGCCTGCATGGGACATAAGAGATCTAGTGTGAGGTGAAGGACATCAACGAGAGCGAAATATCCAAAAAACTGGGAAATAAATTTTTTTTAGAAACCTCATGGCGTTGCATGGCCACTGATCGTTTTAATGCTTTAGCCTTAGTTAGAAGGTTCCTAGGCCTCAAGGTAATGGGTCGCCGATAATTCTTTCCCCGATAGTAAATGAGAGCATATCCCTTTGGAACTCTTTCTATTGCCACAAGTATACCACCACTCTCATATTCCAATAACCTAGCTGTATCTTCAACAAAAGCAAGAGTCTTTTGCTTGCTTATTAATTTCACTAGTTCTCTGTGCTTCCAATGCAAGTGCATGTTTTCGACAACACCATCAAAGACACCACGTATGCCTGGTATAATATGAAATAAAGACCATTAGTGTTTCAGCTAAAAATTCTATCTTCACCTAAAAAATTAGAAGATTTCTTACCAAGAGGCAAGTATGCTTTCATTCTCAAACCAACCCGGCGAAACATAACCCGTTCCTCATCAGTGATTGTTTCCTGATCATAATCGGGACCCGCAGGAAGCATTAATGATTCTATCTTGGAGAGGAGTTTCTCTGCTCTTAGCTTTTTGGCTTGGGCCTGCCAATGAGTTCAGAATATCAAACTAAGGTACACATATGAATCTACATGTATACTTTCTTCCGCAACTGAGTTATGTCTAATGAATGTTAAATGATATATTTTGGATAAAAACATGTTACAAAAAAGGCACCACTCTAGTACCCGGGTCTTTATAATTGAGTCGATTCAATTCCAAAACTATTGCATTCACAAGGAGTGAGAACAAGACCTTCACAGGCTCGTCCACTAAAAGAAGGATAGAGAAAATACTTACAACACCTAGTTTATGCTCGATTCGTCTGACAAGCTTAGCATTCTTAGCTCTTGAATCTTCTTCAATCATCTTTTCCCGTTCTTCAGCAGATATTTCTCGTCCCCAACGAGCTTGAGCCTCATAAAACTCAGCCAAAGTCCCTGCAAGTGCCTGTCCTTCCACTGCACCTGAAGAAGCTGCATCTATTGCTTTAATCCGCATTTTCTCTTCAACATCTTGAACCTGTTTCGTTAGTTCCTGTCTTTCAGCCAGAGCAGCAGCCACACTTGTTGGAAGAAAGTCCTTTCCACGGTAAATGACAATGTAATATTTGTTTCTGAGCAGTAAAACGCCACCTGTTAAATTCTGCAAAATAGAAGGAACTTTAAATCAGTACCTATTGGTATTTATTCCGTAGGTAACAATCAGAAGAAGATTACAAAAAAAACCTTAAAACTATTTGACGAAA